AAAAAAAAAAAAAAAAAAAAAAAAAAACGTAATATATGCCAAAGTTAGGCAGTTAGACATTATTTTCGTTTTGCGTTTTTTTTTTTTTTTTATTGTACAGCTGCATCAATTATATCTTCAGCAAAAGACTATGGTTTTCATCGATACCAAAATGTTTCTGGAGAAGAACGAAAAAGAAGCGTTTGGAGGGTAATTGATGAACATTATCATGCCGGTAGCGAAGTGAAACTACAAAATGCCACCTTAGAACTGATTGCAACATTAGCCTACATGAAGTTTGAAATTCCTTTAGTCTGAACAAAAGAAAACCATTTTCAGTAATAATTCTTATCACTACTCTTTGTTTTCAGGTATTTTGGCGCTGAAGAAAAGTATATGCCGATGAATTTGGTTGTTTCTAAGTTACAAAAGGTTTATTATTTGTTTTAGCAACATCTCCTAGTTGTTTGGTGTTTCTGATACAATAAAACACATGTTCAACTGTCTTCTAAGTAACTATTTTTAAATCATTCATCATAGCTTTCATAAACAATGCAAGTCGACAAAAGCTTGATAAGCAAGACAGTTGTTTTTCAAAACTACTAACAATTGAATCTATACATTCAGATGGAATCAGATATTGATTTTGTGGCTCCGGCGCAAAAAGAAATTGAAGCATATGTATCCAACGGACTTCCGGTACATGCGTTTTCGTTTGATTACGTCTCGGAAACGCCAATGTTTGAAACTGTAAAGAAATCTTATAGCCTATTTGGTGATAAAACTCTTGCAGTTAATCGAACATTACAGCCTCTCGTTGGTAAGAAAACTTTATAAATTTACAACTATGTTACTAATTTAGCTTGAGCCAGTTAATTGCTGCTTACTTAGTAAACTTTGGTAAAATAACTTCTGATAAATTGTTGGCTGAAAAAATCATTTCATGCTACAGTATTTTAAACAGGAAGCTAATAGTTGAGGCAGATACATATGAAACACTTATTACAGGTCTTTCTATGCAAGCATTTCATGGTATAAGTAATGCATATGTCTTTACCAAAGGCTATAAGAATAATTTTCAACTGCAAGAGTTTAGCGAAAAAGACCAAAATATGTCTAAGATGATCACTCGAATTATCACTAATTTTGTAAAACATGGGTAAGTTTCGAAAGCAATTTCATTTTTTAATTAGGCATTTCAGCTGGTTTTTTTCTGCCAAACTTTATCCAAAAACAGCGTTGTAAAAGCTAAAAACACAGTCAATTCTAAGTATATTTCATAGAACAACGGCTTACAAAGCCTAAAAAAAGGTCAGATTTTTTTCTTAGGCGTCCCGTTACTGCCTATGACAGCTTTACTTGGTCTCCGTATACGAACTATTCAGCAGCATATCTTAGTCTAAACATGAATCCAAGGTTAGTCAGTTTCAGTGGCAAAAAAGCATCATTTTAAGTGTACACAGTTTGAGGATTTTTGTTCCATATAATTGACTGACTAATTGGAAAACTGGTGTAAATAAATAAGATGCTGAAGTCAACTAAAGTTTTCTATTTAGCGAACGAAAACGAAGTTTGCACTGGCCAGATACGATATTTTGGAATATCGAAGCAGATTTGTTGGAAAAATTCTCATTTCGCGGAGGTCATTGCCCAAAGGAAACCGAAGATCTTTCTTCTGAAGAGCGACTTCAAGTATATTCATTTCCTTACCTTGACTGTAGCAGTTGCATCAGCAGCAGCAACAACAACAACAAAGTCTACTCACCGAGTTGACTGTTATCATTTTTTTTTTTTGGTAAAAACTGAATATTTCAGTTGGCAGCTTACCGCCGAGCGTGGTGGGCATTATGGGTATTAGTTGCACTGATTGGACTGTCGATATGGGGCTGTATCATATTTATTGTTGTAAAAAAATGTCGTAGTCCACGAGCTAAACCCTATGACAATATTGTGTTTAATCGATGAGATCAAAACATATCGATAATAATACAATTATAAATTGGAAATATCACTTATGCGAATAAATTATTTTTTTTTTAATATTGTTAACACTGTGATTATACAGAAGTCTGTAAGCAGTGACCTTTTTTAAGTGTTATGTAAAACTGAAGAACGACGGTTATCATTGTCGTTATTTAATGAGGTTTCCAGATGGAAAGTGATGTTATCCCATCGCTAGAAAAACTTTGTTCATCATGCTGTGAGACTGTGTTATGTACATATTGGAGTTGATCAAAAGAAAAAGAAAGAGGAACAGAAAAAAAAAAAGAAAGTTGACTTCTTTGTCATCTAAGACTGTCAGCTCCACTAATCAATCTTTAACAAATGCACCCCAGTTTAGCTTAACTTGATTTGATTTGAGTTTTTTTTGAAGATCCTTATAGTTTGGCCAACAATGATGACGTCTACGACACTTCCTGATTTCATGTTTTTTCCTTCCCTCGATAATTCAAACTTTAAGTTTGTTCTAAATTGTGCCACTCCTATTATATTTTATTTTTATCTTTTTCTGTTTTTTTCGGAGTTTTATTCAAATTTTGTTTTTTTTGTTGGAAAGTTTCACAAAAGAATTTTGTTTTCATCTGTTTCATATGATCCAAATATTCTGCGTAAAACATGAAAAGCAGACGAAGCTGGAAAAAAAAGCGACGACCAAGAACAGCTTTATTCAAGATGTCTGAAGGCTAACTTCACAGCTTCAACTATACAGCTATCTGGGCGTAGGCGTTATATCATGAAACTCAAGTATCAGCTACTTCCGAAACATTCTATGAATTTGACACCATTTGAGCAAAAAAACTTTATTCTTTTTTCTGTGAATTTATACATCATTTGTTTATTTTGTTCTTCGTTCGTTCATGGCACTAATTTGTTTTGCTTTCCTTCTTCAAAAAATTGTTAGAGTGCCAAACTCATCTTCGTTTTTGTTCCCTTCAATAGAAGAAACAATTTTTTCCTTATTTACTCAAAAATGTCTTAAGACACTGTTGACGTCTGAAGGTTAACGTTTTTTGGGTCTAATTTCTCAGGGCTACCAGAAACATAATAATTTTTTAGTTGCGTAACATTTTATACTTAGGATATAAATAGCAAAAAGGAAAAGAACAATAGATAAGCATTGTCTCGCTCGTTATGTTTAAGCAATTTTTTCATCTAAAGGTTTGCTGTCGAACAAAATAAATTTAAAAATCCTCTGAAACTTCAGGCTTACTCCTTACAGTTATTAAGCCAGGAAAAAACCTGTTTATTTATAAGGCAATGATGCAAAATCAGATTCGTTCAGTACAGTCAACAAAACTGTTTTTCTGCTGTTTTTTTGTTGCAGTTGAAACTTAAATCAGTATGCGATACGAAAGTAATAATGATTTTGAGTTTTACTTTTTTGAATAAATGGATAAATATGGGTCTTCTGCATCATACGACATAAAACCAAAGATGACACTGCCATTTGTAGCCTCAAATAGAATTTTTGTCATCTAGAATGCATAAAAACTGATTAATTGCTTTTAGTTTTGCCAAATTTACACTACCAAGTAAAACAAAAAAACTTTAAACTTTTATCACATAAAAACTTAATTAAAAAAAACGAAAAAAAAAGAAAAAAAACAGAAAGACTTTTCTTTGACCCTTTTTTTATGTTTTCAAGTCAGTCAATTGAATTATTTGAGAAGCAGTTACTATTTTTTCCAATAAAATCTTCAGGCTGCATTGAACATTGAAAATAACAACTAATCAGCAGTTTTTATAGGACCATATAGAAGTAAAATTTTGTTCACAGAAAAAAAAGTAAAACTTTTCTCTTAGAGTCTAAAAATTTTCAATTGTACTTAGTGTAATAGATATTTTATCAGCTCATTGTTCGGTATATTCATTAAGCAGTTTCAGTACTGCGAATGATTTTGCGCTGTTATTTGCAGTCAGTAATACAGTAGCAGTGTACCGTACTGTATTGCCATTATTAGACATTAGCATTTATACATATCCGCTAACTTTCTTAAGTGATACTTGGGCCCTAAATTTTTTGCCCTCTTAATAATTTTGCTAATATTAAGGTGAACTTGTACTTTTTACGAGGTAAAATGTGATAACTAAACTACACTAAAAAAAAAGAACAGCTTTGAGATTTTCCAGTGGTCGTCTTCGCCCTTTTTTTTTTTCAACAACTTTGTAGTATCATATAAAATTGCTTTTACATAAAAACTTTTATGTTTGTTAAATTGTATTTTGTATTATGTACCTTTTTTTATTGTGTTTACACACACATATTTTATGTAATTTGTGTTTATTGTTGATGTCGGTGCTGTATTAGGAACTGAAGGAAGTGGATTTGCTCATTGTCTGCTGTATATCTTAACTAAAGCAGCACTGATATAACTGAAGAACTTTAATGACAATTTATTCAGTGATGACTTATTGGCCAACACAGAATAATCTTTGTGCGTATTCATGTGTATTTGTTTATTTTTATATGTATATTTGTACAGCTTGAAAAAATGTCATTTTTTTCCTTCTTACTTTTTGCGTCTCAATTTACTGCATAGTTTCTTTTTTTAAATTTCAACTTTCTTTTCTCTGTTTAGTTTTCTTTTCTTAATCAAAAAAATGTTAACTTAGCTGTAGTTCTGAACAATGGAGAAACTCCTCAGGTTTTCGTTGTTGTTTCTCTGAAGTTACTAAAAATAGATGACAACAATAACATCAAAATCTGTATAAAAGTATGGATACTTCAACTTTGAGTGGTGCTGTAAAACTTGGATAGTCATTTATGCATGATTGACTATGCTTTTATTGCTTTGCATATGAATTATTTCTTTTTCTATCGTTTTTATTCTTCTTGTTTTCTTGTCGTCATTTATTCTAGACTGGGAATGCACTGATGCACTGTATAATAGCTGACAGTCAAATAAAACCCTTATTAATTTAGTTGGATTTTCCGTTCTTTTTTTATATTTTTATTTTTTATTTTTAGCTGCATAATACCCAAAGATATTAGCGGATATAAGAAATGAAGTGTTCAACAATAATCTGACGTTGTCGTATGCTTTTGTTAAGGCAGAAAAAAAAAAAGTTGAGAAAAATTATACTTGACGCGTTTTTTTTCTCTTTCTGAACAGCTTTTGTACATTTCTTTTCTTCTAGATACCTATTTATAATTATGCACTATACGTTGAATATTTTTTAACCAACATTTGCTGTAGTTTGTGGACTGCTCAGTTTTATGGAAAAACCTTATACAAGTGTCAGTGTCACGTCTGTTTCTCCTATCTAAAATTTAGGTTGGTATTTTCTTTTTTGAAACATATTGCTGTTAGTTTTGTACAGTGATAGTAGAAGAAAATTGTTTAGAAGATTGTAAGTGATTTACTGGAAGATTTTTTCAATTTATTTATATTAGCAAGAACAATTTTGGATTATTTAATCATGATGATAGTTTGACGACCAAAAGTTGTTCCTTTTTAATGACCAACAGTTTTATGACGAGTCTTTTTTTGACGAGAATAATTGCAAAAAATACTTCTCTGAATCAAAACTTTTCCTTTGTTAACTAAAAAAATTTCTTAAATTAAAACTTATTTTATTTACAACAATATTTTTTTTTGTTACGAGGAAAAACGTATAGGAAATGGACGTGAAAAAAATGAAATTTTTTTAGTGACAATTTCTGCAATAAAAAAATTGATAGCATTGTTGAGCAGTTTGTCAACAAATTTTCCCAACTTTTTTTTTCTCTGCTTATATCTAAGAAAAAGTACTTAAGAAAAAGGTTTTTGCTATTGTCATTATGAGATGTCAAAACTGTCAAATATCAGTTAGATGTTTACCAATTTTGTTGAATGTCGATCAGAACTTGAATGGTATCGTTTACACTTAATGAAGTGCTATTAACTGCAGAAGAAAAAAAAAGCGCTCAAAAGTATCAGTATTAAGACCAAAACTTGGTTCTATGAGGGATAAAAATGTTTCTTTTATTTTTAACTTAAAGTCGAGTTAGCTCTATCCGAAACCGATAATCAGCAATAACGACAGCAGCAATTGCCTTAGCATTTAGCGGATTATTTAAAGGTTTTTCAATATTTTAAACCATGATTAGACTTTTTTTTCCACTTTTACACAATTTCTAATGATAAAAGTTGCTTCTGAGATGACAACAGCTTTATGATTGATTATTTAATGAATCAGTTTTCTGATGTACATCAGATGAGTGTTTCTTTGGACAATTTGTTACAATTACTGATACTTTTTGTTAGTATTTAAAGCAAACTTTTAAATAGCACAAAAATGCAGGCTTTGAATTATTGTAGACTAATATTTTTATAAAGTCACAGAAAGGTAAATTAGTGGTGACGTTTTTCTACCAAAAACTTAAAAATATATGACGACGTGTTTAGTCGTTAAGAAGATGTTCAAGCTTTTTACACACACCAAAATACACACATTGACGCACACAGATATATTTATAAATCAAAAAAAGCTGTCTGAAAATAGAAATTTGACTAAGCTAATGGTTTTTGCTGTTATAAAAGCAGAAATTTTAATTTACTTAAAAAATCAGCATTATAATGTTGGCAGAAGAAAAAAAGCCTATAAATCTTTAATGGAAACAGTTATTTTTAAGTTATTTTTAATTGAACATTTACTTTTTAGGTAAACTATAACAGTTAGTTTATTTAGTATCATATTAATTAAATTTGAAAATACAATTTTCACAATCTTAATGTTTTTCTGTTTTAGTTATCTATCAAATCCCAAGTGCTTTGTGTTTCGCATATTCTGAACAACTGATCAATGATTGAAGAAGGTGAGAAGAATGCGCACTGTTATTCACTTTCACCAACAATAAATTAAACGTTTATTTTTAGATGCTTTAATTTAAAAAATATTAGCAAAAAAGAAGTTTTTTTTTAATTATTGCTAAAAAAAGATTGTTTAATGACTATTGAATTGGCTAAAAAATCGCTTTTTTT